TATGATCCAAACATTGACCAGTGGAGTATGCTGGGAGATATGCAGACAGCCCGGGAAGGTGCCGGACTCGTAGTGGCCAGTGGAGTGATCTACTGTCTAGGTATTGAGTCTGCGATGCAGGAATGGGAGAGAACTCAATGGGTAGTAGATTGTGGGTAAGGGTTCCTTTTTAGCAGAATGAAGTCCATAGACTTCCCTTCAACTAAAACCCTGGTGTGTCAATGTATTTTCCATTAATTGGGATTATCATTTTCTTATAAGCAGAAAGTAGGGTACTATCAGAGCTCTTGGGACTCTAGTGGGAAAATTTAAACTAAAATAATTAGTTGAAGCACTCGGAGAAAGGCTGTCCAGGAATAGGCATGAGGATTTACCACTCATCCTGCAGTGGTCTCTGTCTTCCAGGAGGATATGATGGCTTGAATATCTTAAATTCCGTTGAGAAATACGACCCTCATACAGGACATTGGACTACTGTTACACCGATGGCCACCAAGCGTTCTGGTAAGATCAAATCTGAGGGAGGAGACAATAGGCAGTGCTGTCAGACCTTTACATATATAATAGTGATGCAAGGGACAAACTGTAGATTAATGTAAAAATGAGATTCTGCTCCTCCTTGTCTCTGTTTTCTCTAAATATTAGAATAAAGACAGTTTATACTTACAACTAGATTATAAATTTGAAAGCAAAAGCCTTCATGTTTTTGTTTTCTCCCTGTGTTTTAGAATACTACAATTTTGTCTGTGTAGCACATGTTAAATAAATGTTTGTTAAATAACGTTTCTAATGTATAAGAACAAAGGAGCAGCACCTTACCTTCACGAGAGCTTTTTGAAGCGGAGCAGGCTGAGATGTAGAAAAGGAAAACACTGTGCTGTTCTAGTTTACGTATTCTGAGTAAAAATTGCTTCAGAACCATAATCACAGTTCCTTTCCCTCCATCTACCTTTATTGCTGCCTTTTTTTTACTTCCTCCTTTTCTGAGAAGGGTGGGGCTCTGAGTTAATGAGAGTAAAGAAGAGAACCATTTCTATTTATCTTTTATCATTTCAAATCCAAGCCAAAGGGTTTATAGACGGAATGACTTGTGCTGGACTAGATTATTCTAGGCCTGTCTAGGTCTAGTCCATGCCTCTCACCTACTCTAGAACTCAGCCATTAGTGACCACAGTTTATTTCTGTAACTCAGATTCTAGGCTTAGTACCATTCATTTGCTAATGCCTTCATTTTCCCCAGGTGCAGGAGTAGCCCTGCTGAATGACCATATTTATGTGGTGGGGGGATTTGATGGTACAGCCCACCTTTCTTCCGTTGAAGCATACAACATTCGCACTGATTCCTGGACAACTGTCACCAGTATGACCACTCCACGATGCTATGTAGGGGCCACAGTGCTTCGGGGGAGACTCTATGCAATTGCAGGGTGAGGATTTAAACAACTCCAGACTCAGTATGTAACCAGAGCAAGATTCTATGTGATCTGATCCTTATTTTTGAATGGAGACAAGATTTGGGTAGGGGTAGACATCTCTAGTGGCAACTTGATTGTTTTTAATTAGATTTTTTTTTTATTTTTTAGAGACAATGTCTTTCTCTGTCACCCAGGCTGGAGTCTGAGTAGCTGGGACCACAGGTGCATGCCACTATACCAGGATAGTTTTTTATGTTGTCTAGGCTGGTCTCCAACTCCTGGGCTCAAGCAATCCTCCCACCTCAGCCTCCCAAAGTGCTAGGATTACAGGCGTGAGTCACCATGCTGGCCTCCAGTGGCGGCCTTAAGGAAGAACTTGTGTAGAAAAGAATAGAAGGCTAATTTATTTCTTTAAATTTAATTGAGACAGACAGGGTCTTACCATTTTGCCCAAGCTGGTCTCAAATTCCCTCCTCGGCTTAAGCAGTCCCCCTACCTCAGCCTCCTTCATAGTTGGGATTACAGGCACGTGTCACTGCACGCAGCTGACTCATTTTTTTCTTTTGCCTCTTTCCCACTCAGATATGATGGTAATTCCCTGCTAAGTAGTATTGAATGTTACGACCCTATCATCGACAGCTGGGAAGTCGTGACATCCATGGGAACCCAGCGCTGTGATGCTGGTGTGTGTGTTCTCCGTGAGAAGTGACCATTGTTGGAGCACCATCCAGAACTAGTGACCAGTCTGGTGGACAGTTAGTGGGAGAATCAAGAATCCTTTCCAAAATGTCTGTTTCTCAGTATGTGCATAGGGTGATTACAGGCACCAGTGCAATGATGATTGTACTTATTTGACACATATTCCGCCTTGTCCTGGTTATTGTTCCTGAGAAGGGTGGCCAGCAGGTACTCCAGGGAAAAGAATGCAGATTGAATGGATGTGAGAGACCAGATCGCCTCTCCCACTGCCTTGGGGAGCACTTTCCTGTCGTTTCTAACTTACCACATGCTCAGTGTACTGTATGTATGTTGTGCCTCATATGTTGCAGAGAACGAAGGTGAGTATAGCCTACTAGATGTGGGCAATATCCAACCTAGATGATTGGAAAGGTACCAGTTTAAGTAAACCTGGTAAAATCCAAGTCTTTTTTTTTTTTCCCAAGAAAAGATACCTTTTCTAATCTACAGGTAGCTAGAGGCAACACAGTTCCATTCTAGAGGAAAACAGAAGGGAGAGCCCCATAAAACTTTGGGGACAAGGGAGAGAGACTCATCTGACATTTCTTGTCAGGGATAGGGTTGGTATATCAGAATTGAAGTTAGAATAAGTGAATCAACTGAATTTGATGGAATGTGAGTGAACCTAGAACAGCACTGAAGTATTACATAACCTGGAAGACTGAGAAGGGTATATATCATTTGAAGGATCTTTTTATTTCCCCAAGGTCTTTCTAAAGTAGAATGTTATGCATTTTAGCACTGGAGATAACAGTGAACAAATGTTGGGATGAGACAAGATGGCATCAATGTGGGAGTTCAGTATAACTGGGGATAAACTAGAAGTACCTGTGATTCTACAGTCTTATTCCCTGCCAGGGCTCATCTAGCCATGGCAATGTTTGCCTTGAATGGGGGTGAAAGCCTTTCTTTGTTGAATCAAATACTACTACACTGTTACACTTCCACACTATTTATTTGGGGATGGGCTGGGAGTGACAGTAGCCCAGTAGTTTAGCTACCTGATTACTGCCCATTCTTTTAGGAGTACACTTCTGCCAAGGAGTGGTTTGTACTGCTGTGTTTGGTACATTTAGTCTTTTTTCTGCTATAAGTTTCCCTTATCTGTCCTTTAGTGTAGATTTTATTCATCACAGGACAGAATAATCAAGGACAACCAAAATCCTTTTGTCAGTTTCAGTACCTCAGCTATCAACATTTCTGAGCTATTATTCAATGTTGTCTATGTCATGGAGTGAAATTCTTGTTTTATGGGTATTGGGAGTGTGGGAATGTGATAACCTAAACAACCTTTGCTCTGAAATTCCATTTTTCCCTTTTTCCCTGAATCGTATTGACCTACAGAGTTAATTTCCTTTGTATTTTTTTAAGAAAATATTAAAAATCAACGGTCTCAAATGCTGAGAGTTTGTGGCTAACCAGCATTGCCTTTAGCAGATACTTGGGAGGGAAAGATGTAGGGATCAGCTGTAACTCCTGTGTCTTCAGCCTGTTCAACTTGTGTGTTTGCAAACTAGTTGTGCTATTTCTCTGTTATACACAGGTAAGAGGCAGCCACTTTACACTATGGAGATTCAGAGGCAGCCACTTTACACTATGGAGATTCTCATTAGTAAAATATTTACCTAATTTGCCATATTCATTAGCCCCTCTCATGCTTAGAGTTACTTGAAAACCAAAGGAGTAAAGAAGAGACGTCTTGAATTCACTTAGCACCCACTTGAATTTTAGGGTTTCAGTCATGCCAGGCCTTTTTTCCATTTGCTTTGAATTATGGCATGTGATATTAACAGCTATGCAGAAGGCCTGCAAAACTGCAACAATCCTGATGCTTCCAGAGCAAAAGGAAGGAGAAGCCACAGGAGGAAGTTATTTTCCCTAAAGATGCCTGCCAACTTTGGCAGATGGATTGCGCCTGCTAATTAAACCACAGCCTATAAAACGTGGCTCTTCCTATCTCAAGAAGAGATCCAGGAGAGGCTGAAGGACTGATGGCTCCTATGCTGTCTTCAGTGCTGACAAATTAGTTTCAGACCAATTTCACAAATAGTTCATACACTGCAGCCACTGAATCTTATACAGAAAAATCAACACGTAAAACTTAATAGCTCCTTTTTCACTCTTTTCACAATCATACACACTTTCATGTACTCACATACATACACAGAGATACCCCTAATTTGGTGGGTTATCTTAATTTTTTTTTTTGAGACGGAGTCTCGTTCTGTAACCAGGCTGGAGTGCAGTGGTGTGATCTTGGCTCACTGCAACCTCTGCCTCCCAGGTACAAGCGATTCTCCTGCCTCACCCTCCCAAGTAGCTAGGACTACAGGTGCGCATCAGCACACCTGGCTAATTTTTTGTACTTTTAGTAGAAATGGAGTTTCACTATGTTGGCCTGGATGGTCTCAATCTCTTGACCTCATGATCCACCCTCCTCGGCCTCCCAAAGTGTTGGGATTACCGGTATGAGCCACCGCGCTCGGCCAACATCTTAATGTTTTTAAGCTTCCACCACTGGCAACCAGCTACTTGGTTATCTAACCTAGGAAAACTAGCAGTTGCTTTGTGTCACCCCCATCACAATACAGACATCCAGCTAGTTTCTAAGTTCTATACAATTTTAATTGTTCCAAGTCCATTCCCCTATCTTCATTCCCTCTGCTAGCTTCAGGGCCTTTCTCAGCTAGACCCTAAGGTTAACAGCCACTTGATATCCCTACCTCTATTTCTCTCTTCAATCTAGCCTCTCCATTTAGTCATAGGTTATCTTTCTAAAGCACGGAAGTACTTAACATACAGCAGACAGTAAATACTGAAGTTATTTCTGGCCTAAAATTCCACAGATTCCCATTGTTCATATTATAAATGTAAAATTCCTTAGCATGACATTAGATCCATGGAGCTCTGGGCCCACTGTACCTTCCTGATTTTACCTAACTCTGTTATCACTTCTCCCCAGGTTTGTGGGTCAGCCACAGCGGTCTACTAACCATTCCTAAATTTGTTCTCACCCTTGTTCATATACAATACTGTTCTGTCTGAAATAACCTTGCTTTCCCAACAATCCTAGTTAAGAGCAGTGGCTTTAGAGTTGTGCTGCAACCTTTCTGATCTTTACCTTTCTCATTTTGTGCACAAGAGTGCCGACCCCATAAGGAAACTGTGATGATTCAACACGTTTCTAAAGGCGCTTTGACACATTTTGCCGCATAGTAAATGGTCACAATGATTAGAAGCGGCCAATTACAGCTTCCACACATCTTTTTTCCAGTACCAAAAAGATACCTGCCCCTCTAAGTAGTTTCCTATAGAAGAAGCTAATGTGGCTAAAATTTGAGGGGATGTCCGACCCAGATTCCCTTCACATTGCCCCTAATAAAGTCCCCATTCATTCAGGAGACTAAATTCAGATCTCAGAAAACTAAACAGTAAGGTCAACGTAATGATTTATTTGTTTAGGTCTTACTATTAAGCACAGTGACCAGGTGGGTAAGGAGATGTGTCACTGGTCCCGAGAAGTGTCCCTGTCACAAAGCCTGTCGACACCTAGCCACTCAGGTTAGGCAATGAATGAAGGCGCCTGCGCAGTAGAGTCCAGACAGGGGAAGCGGGCGCCTGCGCACAGAAGTAGTGACCGTCCGCTCCCCGCTCCCGCCTCTGCCAAGCCGCGCCAGCGCAGTGAGGATCAACGCAGCAAAGACAGCGCCTGCGCGCCCGTGGTTGAGGAGCCTGTGGCGGCAGCGGCGATGGAACCGGCAGAGCAGCTGAGCGAGTTAGTGTCAGCCGAGGGCCGAAACCGGAAGGCGGTGCTGTGCCAGCGTTGCGGCTCCCGGGTGCTGCAGCCAGGGACCGCTCTTTTCTCGCGCCGACAGGTAGGGAGGCAGGTTGGAGGGCGTTTACACCCACAGTCTCCCAGACGAGCCGCCGCGGTCGGAATCTGAACCCCAGCTCCTGAGTTTCCGGAGACCGCGCCCTCCTCGCGCGGCCTTAAGCCCCGCCCCTCGGGCCTCCGCTCTGCGAGGCTCCGCCCCTGGGGCCACCGGCAGCGAGGGAGAGAACCGGATCCCGCCCCGGGATCTTTTGCTGCGCAATCCGTTCCTGGGCTACCCGGTCCTGCCTGCCCGGCCCTCCGCCCCCGGGGCCGCCGCGAGTGCGGGCCCTGCGCCCTGCCGCGGTCCAGGGCCGTTGCTTCGCGGGCGCGTAGAAGGGAGGCGCCCCATTCCGGCTCCCGGAGCTCCCGCCAGCCTGCAGGACCTGGCAGGTGCCTCTCGGCCGCCGCTCACCGCGGATGTGGCGGGGTTCCAGTCCTACTCCAGACCCCACCCGCCAGTCCTGAATTCTCCGTCTCGTTTATGGCAGTCACCTGTCTGTTTCACGAAGGAGCCCCAGAAACAACTGGTGTAGGGGACGCGGCAAAATAACGCCGCTAACCTGCATACCGAGGAAGTTAACGTTTTCCAGATGAATCGTATTTCAAATGCGATAGATACCTGACGTCCTGAAGTAAATTTTAAAGAAAAACAATTTTTTTTCCCTTGAGTTTAGGGATTTTAATACCCTTCCTACCACATGACCCCAAGTGAAAAAGTTGAAAAAAAAATTATTTCGGTCAACTCTGTATTGAAGTGCAAGTATAATGTCATTTCAACCATAGGGACGTCCTGTCATTCAAAATTATTTCTAAAAATATGCAGATCATTTTATAATTTCACGTGGTGGAACAGATCGTGGAGTGTAATGTCTAGTAGAAGAGCAAGAATCCCCCATACCTCCAAAACAGCCTTTCATCAAAGGAGGAAAAAAGGAATCTGTGTATGTTGTTTTGTAGGTATATTGATGAATTTTGATCTAGATATTGGTGGAGCTCCCAGCGTTCTTTTAAGACTTCCAAGGTTTGGGAGTAGAGTTGTCGATTGATTTTACGAGGTTAGTGGCATTATGGAGTCAGTGGAAAGAACATGGATCTTGGAATTAAAATATACGTGGAATTAAATCCTGACTTTATCATTCATTAACACTGAAAGAGTTATTTAGGCCGGGCGTGGTGGCTCATGCCTGTAATCCCAGCACTTTGGGAGACCAAGGCTGGTGGATCACCTGAGGTCAGGAGTTCGAGACCAGCTTGGCCAACATGGTGAAACCCTGTCTCTACTTAAAAAAAAAAAAAAATACAAAAATTAGCTGGGCATGGTGGCACTCATCTGCAATCCCAGCTACTCTGGAGGCTGAGGCAGGAGAATCGCTTGAACCTGGGAGACGCAGGTTGCAGTGAGCTGAGATTGCATCACTGCACTCCAGCCTGAGCAACAGTGAGACTGTCTCGAATTTGAAAAAAAACCAAAAAAGTAAAAAATTAAAAAAAATAAAGTTATTTAAACTCCATAAGATGCAGGATGCTGTTGTGTAAAACAGGGGTGTCCAGTCTTTTGGTTTTGCTGGGCCGCATTGGAAGGAGAATTGTCTTGGGCCATACAACATACACTAAGAGTAGCTGATGAGCTAAAAAGAAAAAAAAAAAAGGCAAAAAAAAAAATCTCATAATGTTTTAAGACAGTTTCCGAATTTGTTTTGGGCCTCATTCAAAGCCGTTCTGAGCCATATGCAGGCTGCAGGTTGGACAAGCTTGGAAGCTTGGTGTAAAATGATGGTGATGATAGAGGGAAGAATTTGTATGAAAACACTTGGCACTGTGCCTAGTATGTAGCCCATTATATAGGTTAGTTCCCATACTCCTTTTCCATGGCAAGGTTCTAAATTTTTATTTATTTATTTATTTTTGAGATGGAGTCTTGATCTGTCACCCAGGCTAGAGTGCAGTGGCACAATCTCAGCTCACTATAACCTATGCCTCCTGGGTTCAAGCCACTCTTCTGCCTCAGCCTCCCTAGTAACTGGGATTACCACCATGTGCAGCTAATTTTTGTATTTTTAGTAGAGATGGGTTTTCACCATGTTGGCCAGGCTGGTCTCAAACTCCTAACCTCATGATCCGCATGCCTTGGCCTCCCAAAGTGCTGGAATCATAGGCATGAGCCACAGCGCACAGCCTGGTTTTGTCTAATTTTATAAACTGACATAAATTAAGAGACTTCTTAATGGAGTTTATATATTTTTTTAAATTCTTAATTTTTTTCATAGTTATTGATTTTATTCATTTATTTTTTGAGACATCTCCCTCTGTTGCCAGGCCAGAGTGCAGTGGCATGATCTTGGCTCACGGCAACCTCCATGTCTTGGGTTCAATCAATTCACCTGCCTCAGCCTTCCAAGTAGCTGGGACTACAGGAACGTGCCACCATGCCCGGCTAATTTTTGTATTTTTAGTAGAGATGGGGTTTCTCCATGTTAGTCAGGATGGTCTCGATTTCTTGACCTCGTGATCCACCCGCCTCAGCCTCCCAAAGGGCTGGGATTACAGGCATGAGCCACCGCGCCCAGCCTATTTTATTTTTATTTTTATATTTTGAGATGGTGTTTCACTCATGTTGCCCAGGCTGGAGTGCAATGTCAGGAGTTCAAGACTGGCCTGGCCAACATGGTGAAATCCTGTCTCTACTAAAAATACAAAAATTATCTGGGTGTGTTGGTGGGCACCTGTAATCCCAGCTACTTGGAAGGCTGAGGCACAAGAATCGCTTGAAGCTGGGAGGCGGAGGTTGCAGTGAGCCAAGATCACCAAGTGCACCACTGCTCTCCAGCCTGGGTGACAGCAAGATTCTGTCTCAAAACAAAACAAAACAACAACAGAAAAAAACAGAGAGAGATGAGCTCCCTGTATTGCCCCTGGTCTCAAACTCCTGGGCCCAGGTGATCCATCCACCTTGGGCTCCCAAAGTGGTGGGATTACAGGTGTGAGCCACTGTGCCTGGCCAGGATCTTTTTTTACCTTCCCTTCCTTTCCCTTTCCTCTCTCTTTCCTTCTTTCTTTCCGTCTTCCGTCCTCCCTCCCTCCCTGTTTTGCTGTTACCTGACTTGAGTATGTGACACAAGCATGGCTCACTGCAGCCTCCAATCAGCCAAAATTATTAATTCTTGTTTGATACTTTTTTAAACTGATTTTGCAAAAAATTGTGTGGGCAAAATAAATTATGTATGTTACATTTCTTTTTGTTTCTCAACTGACACAGTGGCTCCTATTTTCTAGAAAGAGGCCTAATAATTTTTTAATGCATTTTATGTGTTTAAAAATGTTTTCCCTCTTTTAAAAAGACAAAAAGGTTTTTTTGTTGTTTTTAACAATGGCTTCAACATTTCTGGAAATTTCCTATTTCCTGAGAAAGAACTGTTGGAAGAATCCTGTCCCCTTTCTGGACTCTAGCAACTCAGCTGTAGTCTAACCCAGTGTTCTGACTCCTGTCCTGATTGTTTTCTCCTTTCTTTCCTCAAATACAAATTTCAGCAAAAATATAACCTCTAGGACATGATGTCAATAGAAGGTAAAAAAATTTCCTGGGAGATTCTAACAGTTATTAGTCCCTCCTCTGCTCTGTGTCACATATTTTAAGGTGGAGAAAAACAGTTCTGTCCTTACAGAGAGCAAGGAGCTTCTGAGATGCCAAGCTCCTTAACTGAAGCTTTGGGGTAAACCCCCTAAAGTTTTAGGGTAGCTCTTTTTTGTCGTAACTGAAATATTGCAGATAAACCACCATTAGGGCAATTATAGCAGGGCTGTTACTCATCTTTGCAGGTGTTAAAGGAGCACTCCCAGCAGTTAAGCCTGGAGAAGGGTGTGTAAGGAGTCCTGGTTAGAGGTGGCCTGCAGCTTTCTCTCTTGCTCCCCCCAGTGGAAGAGAAGAGCCTAGTAGTCTGCAGACGGGAACAATCGGAGAGCTAGACTGCCAGTCCTACCTTGAGGTGATCCAGGGCCTGCCTCTTACTGTGTCTTATATTCCACAGCTCTTTAGTCTAAAGCAGTGTGTTTCTCGATTCCGTCCCCCACACCCAGATCTCCAAAAGACATTTAGCAATATCTGGAGACATTTTTAGTTGTCAGAATTAGGGGGGTGTGCTGCTGGCATCTAGTGGGTAGAAGCCAGGAATGCTTTTAATCATCTTTTTCTTTCTTTCTTTCTTTCTTTCTTTTTTTTTTTTTTTTTTTTTTTTTTTGAGATGGAGTCTTGCTGTGTTGCCAGGCTGGAGTGCAGTGGCACAATCTCTGTTCACTTAACCTCTGCCTCCCAGGTTCAAGCATTATAATGAGTAGCTGGGATTACAAGCATATGCCACCACACCCAGCTAATTTTTACATTTTTTAGTAGAGATGTGATTTCACCATGTTAGCCAGGCTGGTCTGGAACTCCTGACCTCAGGTGATCCACCCGCCTCCACCTTCCAGAGTGCTGGGATTACAGGCATGAGCCACTGTGCCCAGACCCTGTTAAGCATCTAATAATGCACAAGACAGCCCCCCAACAATGATGAATTCTGCAGCCCAGAATGTCAGTAGTGCCCAGGTTGAGAAACCTTGGCCCAAAGACTACAAAGTAGTCTCCCATCTATCATCTCAGTCAGCCTTAGGAAATGATTTGCATGATTTGTTGTTTATACCACTAGACTATTAGGTCCTGTGTCCTGTCTGCTTCTGTATCTCTTATGTCTAGACTGTGCACGTAAGTGAGAACTGAGTAAATACTGGAGTTTAAATAATTAGTGAATAAAAGCTATTAGTCCAGTATACTAATTAGCATGGATACAGTAGAGCAGTATATTCAGTTGGCACCGTCACTCTGCTATTTGTGCAGCATGTAATTTGTGTTCTATTATTTTTACCTTTAAACTATGTTGGACTTGATGTGTTCTTTTTAAGTCATATAATTGGTTTCACATATGCAATGTTCATATCCTGGGGCCAGTTGCAGTGGCTCATGCCTGT